TAGCCCTCGTGTAGCTTTGAGCGAAATTAAAAACAAACAAACTCTCACAGCTTTGTCACTTCCTTCTTTCACTTTAGATTGTACTTCCCAAGTACCTAAAATCTTCTACCTGTTCCATTAGCTTCCCTTTTACATCTGTGATATTAACCTTCTTTTTCCTACCTCTTCCACTCACCATTACTTCCATTTTACTGAAATTCACTTTCAAGCCTTTTCTTTCCAAACTCTTCTGCCACACTTTAACTTGTGTTTGTAACTCCTGCTCACTTTCTTCTGTTAGTACAAGGTCATCAGTGAATCATAGGGGTTTCTTATGGCACTCCTTACTCAAAATGTTAATGACAATGATGAACAGTAGAGAGCTAATGGCTAACCCTTGGTGCAGCACTTTTACTTCAAACTTGTCCGCTTCTCTATATACCATCTTCATGATTGTTGTTGCTCTAGTCTGATCAGCTTTTTGGGCACTCCTTTGTTTTGGAGGCACTAGTATATAAATTCTTGTGGCACCCTGTCATATGCTTTCTCCAAATTTACAAATGCATGGTACAACTTTTGTTTTTTTGCATTGATTTTTCCTCTTCCAGGTTGAAGTTCATCATTATTTACAACTTCCATTATTCTTCTTTCCAGTAATTTTTCTTTCACTTTCAGCAGGTGCTTCACTAATTTTATTCTTCTATAGTTTTCACACTCAAGAGCATCTTCTTTCTGCTTGTAGATGGGTATCAGTAGGCTCTCTCTCCATTCTGCAGATATCTGCTCTTCCCTCCAGATGTTCTTCAACAGGGTCCATACATACTCAACTCCATCATCTCCAAGTGCTTTGACCATATTAACGACAATCTTTGATGGACCTCCTATCTTGTCTATATTTATTTTTCTGATTACTTCTTTGACCTCCACTCTACCGATATTCAGTATTGGGCCAGCTATTGGTGGGGGTCTCCTTCAATTCTTCTGCTTCATTTATGGTGTTAAGTAGTTTCTTGTAGTACTGTTTCCATTTCTGTTTTACTGCCTTTTCATTCATCAGGAGCTTCCTTTCTTTGTTCTTAATTACTTTGATCATTGTGATGTCTCTTTCCATTTTCCTTTGCTTGGCTATACTATATACCTTCTCCTCCCCTTCTTATGTTTCCATATTGTAACAATTTTTAATTGCCTTGTTCTTCACCACTGCTCTTTGCCTTTTTTATTTTTTGGTATACCATTTTTGAAGAATTGTTCTTTTTTTTATCTGTCATTCTTTGAAGGATTCTTTCTTTTCCTTAATGGTTTGCTGTACTTTTTTCTTCATCACCATGCTTCCTTCTGCTCAGGCCCTCATCCTTTTGTTTTGCCGCAAATGTTTACTGCCTTTTGAATTGTGTATTTATTCAATACTTTCCAGTAATTCTCTACATTTCTGGCAGTCTTTTGAGCCTCCTCCATATTTCATTTCACTGCCTTTCTGATTTCTCTTGGTTTTGTCCTTCTGGCTGCCACACTTTAATCTTCTCAGTTCCTTCCTTTCTCTTGTTCCTCTTATTTTCCATTATCAACATTTTATGTTGGTGTAACACTGTTTCTTCTGGTATCATATTTACATCCAACACCTTTTCTGTCCCTCTTTTGGACTAAGATGTAGTCAATCTGTATCTTATTTTGGTCACGCTTGTATGTGATGAGGTGTTCCTCTTTCTTTTGGAACTCTGTTTTTGTCAAGAAAAAATCCATACTCTCTGCCATTTCTAACAATCTTTCTCCTTCCACATTTCTTATTCCATAGCCTCTCTTCCCCATGTGTCCCTTCAAACCAGTCCACTTTTTTTTCAGGTCTGCTCCCACAATCAACATCTTACTATGTGTTATCCCTATAATCATATCTTGTAATTTCTATAATTTATTCTAATACGTTTTAACGAGTAATATGTTTTAAGGTTGTTAAAGGAATTCATAGTGTTACATGTGTGTTTGTTTGTTAATTTCCGGTATAAATTCTTTCCGAGGAACTTCAGCGACACAAGTCCTTTCTTAATGAAAACTAGTTTATTCTTTCTTGATAAACTTTTTGTAATACACAGAATTTCCACAGTCACTATAAACTTAACAACCTTTATAACACACACTATAAACCACAGTGATTCACACACTTTACTTACGGTGCCTACTGTTTGCTTGACTCAATTATCTATCTCTTCAATCTATCTGCATATCTATCTATATCTTTTCAATTGTGCTGGTTTTTCTCGTAAGGCTTATATACTAAAAAAGAGAGTGCCTCGAACAAACTAGAGTTGCCTGGAAAATCCATGATCCATCGAGAAACTCCAGCACGCTTGCTCCCAGCGTCTCATGACTTTTGCTGTCGTAACAATATATATATATTTTCTTTCATACTTAATAGTGAGAATGATAGGACTAGGGGACACAAATATAAATTTTGGTAGGGAAGGAGTCATCTTCAGACAGATTTATTTTCTAACAGGGTAGTTAGCCTTTTATATTGGTTGTTTTCAGATGTGGTTAAAGGTGTGAATATAAGGGAGGTTTTAAGGGAAGGCTTGATATATATATATATTTGAATGATATGTGCTGATTTTTAGTATTTTATTTTAAAGTTAAGTTTAGTGTATGGGATGGCCTAGATGGACCAACAGGTCCCTTTGTGTCCTTGTATTATATAACTGTTTATATGTATAGGAGCAGCCTTAAGATCTTTTGACAAATACCTATAATACTTTCTTTTCAATACAAAATAAGTAGCTTTTCTTGAATTTTTTTCTTGTGACTTTTATGTAAAAATCTGTTTGAAATACTAGAACTGATATTTATGCTAATCTGTAAAACATTGATTATCTCATTAATTTATAGCTACACATATGTTGATATTTAATAACACTTAATAACATACCACTAATGGTGATTTAGTTGCATAACTTACTGAGATTTAAGTTTTCTTAAAATTTAACCCATTGACTGCTGATTCACCATATAGAGTACGGTCCACTTCTTGAATGCAAGTGTGCCGTATACAGTGTATGGGTTGCAAAATGTTCACACACTTTTAGAGCAGCTGCAGTAAATAGGTTAAAGGACAGAAATCTTTAAGTGGATATTGTCTATTATATACATTTTTTTATGGATTTAGAGTTTAAAAATGTGTTTTTAATTCAATTTAGGCTCTCCAAGGAGCCAAAGAAGTTCATGCTTTTGACCGAAGTGCAAGTGAAACTATTGGCTGGATTGATGAAAAGGATGCCATGTTATCCAGTGAAGAATTTGGTCATGATCTTGAGAGTGTCCAAACTTTAGTCAGGAAACATGAAAGATTTGAAGTACAGTATCATGTTGTTCTATCTTAACTTTAATCAGGAAACATGAAAGATTTGAATTACAGTAACATGTTATTCTACCTTAACTTAATCAGGAAGCATGAAAGATTTGAAGTACAATAACATGTTATTCTATCTTAACTTTAATCAGGAAACATGAAAGATTTGAAGTACAATAACATATTATTCTACCTTAACTTAATCAGGAAGCATGAAAGATTTGAAGTACAATAACATGTTATTCTACCTTAACTTTAATCAGGAAACATGAAAGATTTGAAGTACAATAACATGTTATTCTATCTTAACTTTAATCAGGAAGCATGAAAGATTTGAATTACAATAACATGTTATTCTATCTTAACTTTAATCAGGAAACATGAAAGATTTGAATTACAGTAACATGTTATTCTACCTTAACTTAATCAGGAAACATGAAAGATTTGAATTACAGTAACATGTTATTCTACCTTAACTTTAATCAGGAAACATGAAAGATTTGAATTACAATAACATGTTATTCTACCTTAACTTAATCAGGAAACATGAAAGATTTGAAGTACAGTAACATGTTATTCTACCTTAACTTAATCAGGAACATGAAAGATTTGAAGTACAGTAACATGTTATTCTATCTTAACTTTAATCAGGAAGCATGAAAGATTTGAAAGTACAGTCTGCTGTACCGTACAT